TGCCTCCCGTCCCTGTCCTACTGTCCCCATTTATTCGTGCCTATTCCCTGTATTCTTACTCATGCTTATACTTATACCTATTATCTTGTAAGCGATTGATAAATCAAATAAATAAAAGGACAGAAGGAAGGGGGAAGGAAGGAGAGAAAAGAAGGGAGGGAGTGGGAGGAAGGAAGGAAGGGGGAAGGAAGGAGAACAAGGAAAAGGAAGGAAGGGGAGAAATGATCAGAGGGAGAGAAAAAAAAGGAAGGAAGGGAGGAGGAAGGAAGGAAAGGAGAGAATACGCATTCCTTAAGAGGTCTGTAAGGGGCGTGCATAAGCGCACCAATCGTGCCTCCCGTCCCTGTCCTATTGTCCCCATTTATTCGTGTCTATTTCCTGCATTCATGCTCATGTTTATTCTTATTCCTATTATCTTGTAAGCGATTGACAAATTAGAATAATAAAAAAACAAAGGTCCAGAGGCAAGCTCCCACCTGACAGCCATTAAATGCCAGGATGCTTCCCCCCCCACCCACCCCAGTTCAGACCCATCTCGGGGCACCTCAGAAGAGGGCTTCAAACTCTTTGGTAGCCCTGACTGGGTGTTCCTTTTCCGCCTCCTCTTCGCAGGCAGTGTGAACGGAGCCCTTGCCCCATGGGGAGCCAAGCCTGCCAGAAATCCGCCCATGCCGTCTCCTTCCACTACCTGCCCCTCCAGTCCAACCACTCCATCCCCTGGGTCCTTTTCAAGATGTCCACCAGCCGCTCTCTGGGGGACAGCCTGCGCTTCGCCCTCCTAGGGGGCAACAGCCAAGGGAGGCTGGCAGTCCGACGCTCGGACCAGCACGCAGGGGAGCTGGTGCTGACCCGCTCCGTCCTGGGGCCGGCAGTCCTGGAGGCCGAGGTGGAAATGAGCGAATTTGCCCAGAAGATCCTTCTAGGGAAGCACATCTTCAAGGTCACGTTGTTGGTTTCCCAGTATGAGTTCTGAGCCCCCTCGGAATCCCCCGTCGGGCTTTGGAGGCCAGGACCGGATGTGGCCGGGACCTGGAGGGGGCAGCTCTCTACCCAGAATAAAAGAAGCCGAAGCAAGCCTCGATCCTGCTGAACCAGACTTTCCTCTCCACGTGGCCGGACATTTTCTCCACGGTCTTCCCCCTCCGAGAGAGAGAGGCTTTGGGGGAGAAGCAATGGATGGGAAGCCCCTTGGAAGGGAGACCAACCACAGCAACGGGAGTTCTCGCAACCGCTGGCAGAAACATGTTTTATAGTTAACAGAAAGAAGGGGGGGGGATTTCAAAGAGCAGGCGGCAGTGTGGAATCGAAAGTACATTCCATTCATATTTTCTTCAGAGACTGACTAGATGACTGAAGCTTCTGCTGTGCAAAAATCTAATTGGAGAGCATGATTGACGACTCTTGGCTATGGATGTGTTTGTTGGGGGAATATGAATTATGATACACCCAGAGGGGTGGGGGGAAAAACAGGGTCAAGGGTGACAGCGAATTACTGTCTCCGAATGGGCTACACCCAGATCATGCCGACAGGTTGACTTCCAGTAAATCCTTTGAAGGTTTGGGAGTGTGACTTGAGACTCATGATTTAATTGAGGTAACTGCCAGAATCCTGATAAGCCATGCACTTGTGCAGATACCCATCTTGTGCAGTCAAGAGGCAGGGACAGCACAGCTGCGTTTGCAAGACACAATTGCCCTTGGTTAAAAATCAGGAACCCGGTAGCACCTCTTCCGACTGTCAAAACTACCTGTAGGTTTCTGAGCTATTAGCTGAAAAAGTGCTACAGGTTCCTGATTTTCCCCACCCCCCTGCAAACCAACCTAGTTCTCCTCTTAGGGCCACCTATGCATGGTTTATTTAATCCGGTTTTCTGAGTTAGCCCGAGACAGACCCACAGCTTGGTTGGTTATTGTACGCCGTCAATCAATGTAAGGCAACTGCGTGGAATGATTACTGTAAGTCCAAATAAAGAACAACATTGGTTTTTCCTTGGAAGGGTGGGCTCATGGAAAGGTTGCTTTATGAATGAAAAAGAAACTCTCCCAAAACGTGGTCATATGCGTTGCGGGCAGGTGAGGGAAACTGAGGCTGCAATTCTGCAGATCAACTGTTGGGGTTCCTGTGCAAAGCAGTGCATCTCTGGAAGCGAAGGGGCTTCTCTTTTCTCCAAACACCAAAGCAGCGCAAAGCAGTGGTGGGATTCAAAAATGTGTACTACCGGCTCTGTGGGCGTGGCTTGGTGGGCGTGGCAGGGGAAGGATACTGCAAAATCCCCATTCCCTCCCCAACCCACTAACCTGCTTTCCAGCTCCATTCTCCTGTGCAAGGCAACAAAACAAGAGCCAGTCGATCAGCTGGGACTCAATGGGAGGCAGAGGAGAGATGGGGTTGGCGGGGCCAGTCGGAGGAGGGATTGGCCGGTTCTCTGAACTACTCAAAATTTCTGCTGCCGGTTCTCCAGAACCAGCTGAACGCCACCTCTAGTGAAGTGTTGCCTCTGGGTTGCCCCCATCTCCACATCCACTACACATCTCTAACTTGGCTGCTCAGCCACTTTAGCCCCCAAAGGCAGAGAATCTAAACCAACCTGTTCTGCTCAGCGGGTGCAGAATTTGGACCGGTAGTGGCAAGGCACCGGGAGGCAGCAGACTTGGCCAACCGGTGTCTGTGAAAGGCTACTCTGTCTGCGAGGGGGCAAGGCCAGCAGGAAACTGGCCTCTTGTATAAATGGCTGCGTTATATCACACTGGTGAGTTTCCGGGGCTGTGGTTAGAGTGAGGGTCCAAAGCAGGAATTCTGACACAGACACCGACACCTACACAAACACCCACAATTCCCCTAGCACGGAGCACTCACCCCGCTCCCCAAAGGAGGTGGATTCACAGGCTGATCGGAAATGCCTCTTCCCTAAGATGCGGAGGCTGGCAGCCCAAACTCTGCTTGGTTTATTTGGAAGACCCCGAAGCCAACTTCCAAACTAGCCAGCATTCGTAGCTAATCAAGTCTTTTATTGATGTACAAACAGCCTTTAAAAAAAAAAAAAAACTACTGGGGCAGGAGTTCCTTGCAGATAAGTTGCATTGATGAAGCAGCGGCAGCTTCCCAGTTGATGGGCAGAACTGGTGGAGGGGAAGTTGATGCTCCCATGGGGGGGGGGGAAGGGGGGGCTTCAGGCCAGGAAGACCTCCTGAAGATGATCTGGGTCAGGGGTCTCCAACCTTGGCCGCCTGAAGACTTGTTGGACTTCAACTCCCAGAGTTGAATTCCTGGCTGAGGAATTCTGGGAACTGAAGTCCAACAAGCTTTGCTGGCTGAGGAATTCTGGGAGTTGAAGTCCAACAAGTCTTCAAGTGGCCAAGGTTGGAGACCCCTGACCTGGGGGGCTTCAGACAAGCAGATTTCCCCAGCGAAGACTGCCAAAGAGCAAAGCCAGGAAGGTGTTCTGTGTCTCAGCCGCGGTTGTCTTGATGAGCCCCAAGATTTGTAGGCACTAAGCGGGCTGAGACGGGGCAGAGGGCAAGGCCGAGCTAAGCCCCTCCGGGGTCACATTGCGAGCGTTAAGGCACTCCAAAGAGGAGGAGGAGCATCAGCGGCATCAGCGGTGGCATCCTCAGCTTCGGGCCCCGTGGGAGTAGCTGCCCAGGGGAAGCGTTTCGGTTTTCGTAAGTGATCGCGACGGATTGACAACAATGATCTTTCCCCTCCCCGTCGATTTGGGAGGTGAATTGCTAGAAAGAAACCAAACATCCAGAGTGGAAGGGCATTCAACGCCGAAGGAGAGGAAGCTAAAGTGCATCCGAGACTGGCCAACGGAAGGAGGCTGCAACGGAAGGAGGGCAGCAGAGGATTTGGGCTTCTTGGGGAAGGAGCCCACCCCCCCAGCTTTTCTCCCAAAGGCAGAGGCAGATTGGCCAGAAGGCAAAGAAACTCCAGAATCGCACGGAAGAGGTTCTGGAAAGAGAACCTGCACCTGGACAAACACACCTGGAGAAGCAGCTTGGAAGGTCCTCACTCAAAACTTTTGCAGGAAGGCGGGGAAGGAGCAGATCTCCTTGGCACAAGGACAAGGGGGGCAAGAGCTTCAGCAGGCAAAAAATGAGGAATAGGTGATGGGAACTATAGTGCAAAGCAACTCGGGGAGGCTGGCTGTCCCCAGAGGCTTCTTTTATCCTTCTGCCTCGTCTTCTCCCAGGTTTTCAACCAGCAGGGGACTGTCCAGCTGTTCGGCCCCTCTTCCCAAGCAGACCAGGCCAGCCTTCAGGGCGCTTGCAGCCTAGCCAGCCTGAGAGGACGGGGGTCTCGGAGGCAGCCCCTGAGCTATTCCCAGCAGGCCCTGCTGGGCTTCGGTCGGTGCCGCTTCCCAAATGCCCTTGTCTGTGGGAGCCTGAAAAGGCCACCCTGGAGTCTGCAGCCTGAGCAGACTCTCGCGATGAGACCAAGTCGCTGCTCCTCTAAAGGGAATTTTTGGTTGCAAACAGATCTGTTTGGGAAAGAGTCTTCCCCCTACTGCTCATCCCAGGTTGGGGAAACCGGCAGGTTAGGAGGTGCAGCTGCTTACACACACCTTGGCTGGTAGAGGAGAGAGATCCCAGGTAGACCAAAGGAAGGGCAAGAAGAAGAAGAAGAGCCCATCAAAACGTCTCCGGCAGCCAATCAAGAGGCCTTTGGAACAGAACCGCGGTCTCCTTCCCAGCCTTCGTCCAGAGGGAGGCTAAAAGAGGCAGCGCAGAGCAAGCGAGCTGGCTGGGAGGGAAGACGACCTACCAAGGGAAGCACGGAGTTAAATTCTCTTGGGGAGGGAAGAGGCAAGGCTAGGGGTCCAAAAGAGCCAGTCTTCTTGGCCAAGAACTCCCTCCCTGAGGGTGGCCAGGGCGGGAGAAGAAGAGGCGAAGCGTTCAAACCCGCCAGCAGCAGCACCACAAAAGAGGACTTCGTCGCTGCTTATCTTCACTTCCTGCCAAGCAAAATGTAGAACTGCTGTGGCCTTTTTTGGTCTGTGGCAGAACCTTGCAGCTCTCATCCCTTTGGAGCTCCAAAAAATGACAGGGAAGGGAGTCTCCAGGTATGTGTGTGGGGGGGGGTTGATTGCCCCACCTCAGGCTGATGAGGGGATCACTATGGTTGGGGCTGCCACGCTGGGGTCACTGTTGGCCAAATATTTCCGAGTTTAGATGGGGGGGGGCGACGGGCACAAGGGTTAGATTCCCAAGGCAAGCAGCACGTCGGATCGGCCTTTTAACAATTACAGAGCGAGCAGCTTACCCCAAAGTCTCGACCCCCTCACCTGCCATCAATGGCTTCCCCACTCCCACCCCCGTCTGTTCCACGAGCCGCAGATAATGCGAGGAAACGGCCTCCTCCAGCCCGGCGGCCTTGCAGGGGCTCATTATCTCCCGGGCCTGTGCCTGAGAATCCTGGGAGCCGAAATCCTGAAGGGGTTCCCAAGATGGAGATGGACAGGACAGGACAACGACGTGAGAGGCAGAAGAACGCAAAGCAGCTCCCATGAAATAAGATCTCGGAGAGGGATCCGCTGGGAGGAGATGAGTAACATCGGGCAGCTGCTCTCCGAGGGACTTCCGTGGTTCCACAGATCGATGCAGATGCACGCCGAGAACTACGAAGATCCTCCTGCTAGCAGGACGCCCTGTCTCCTACAGTGGCGATAAGGACGAGGTAATCCTCTTGTCATTTCTATCGACCCCTTTGAAGGTTGGCTGGAAGGGACAGGACCAGAATGTTTTCATGGGAGCAAACCTCACTGCGAGCAGGTGCCCTAAAGCGAGCGGCGGGTCTCAAAATGCAGGCCTCTCCAGACCCCAAGAGGTCCCACCAAGTTCCCAAGACCTCGAACTCTCCATGGGGGCTGAGGGACCAGGGAAGCTTGCTCTGCCTGCTCTGGAGACAAGAGAGTCGCACCTCCCCGTCATAAATACCCCTTCAGATTGGGGGGAAAGCTGCAGGATCATTTTGGGGGAAGGAGGAAGGAAAAGGGTTCAAAATATACAAAATGTAACAGGCCAGGAAGTCTTAAGAAGTCCAAAGGGCAACGTGGGAAAAGTCTGGCGCTTTCTGGAGTTATTTGCCCTGGAAACCGCTGAACTCCATCTCGTCTTTGCGCCGGCGGGAGGTGAAGAGGGAGCTGAAGGGGTACAGCTTGGCCTTGGCTTGGAAGCGCTGCCCGGCGATGTCGATCTCATATTCTCCCCGGTTGACAAAGTCTGGGGTGACCAGCTGCTCCTCGCCGGTCTCGGGATCCAGGTTCTGGACAAAGCCCAGGCAGACGTGACGCTCCAGTGTGTAACTGTAAGCGCTGCTGGTGGTCTTGCCCGTGTAGCAGCCATTGCGGTAGATGGGCTCCCCCCACCAGGGCCACAAATCCAGGTCGGTGTTATGGTCTTCCAGGATGAACATGGTGAAGCGCTTGTAGACCCCTTCCTGCTTCTGAGCCATCAGCGCGTCCCTCCCGATGAAATCCATGCCCTGCAGAGAGACAGACAGACACACACACACACACACGTGTCAGGAGACGGGATTTGATCCACTTCAGCTCTTCTACTTACTGCTGGGAAAGAGCCAGTGGCAAGCAACCCACTGGCAAGCGTTCTATCAAACTGCATCCCTGCTTGGTTTGGTGGCTGCAGTGCCTCAGATAGAAAGTCCCAACAGAGAGTGGTGAGGACAGCGGAGAAGATTATAGGACACTCGCTTCCCGTTATTCAGGGTACTGCTTGTAAGCTCTAGGTGCTTAGAGCTCAAAACATTGTTAGAGACCCCCACATACCCACTTCACAGTCTATTTTGGTTGCTCCCCTCCGGGAGAAGGTTTTCTGGGGAATTCTGGGAGTTAAAGTCCACAAGTCTTAAAGTTGCCATGTTTGGAGACCCTTGGCTGAAAGGAATAAACGTCCTTAAAGCTTCTTCCAATTTTGGGGGACATAAATGGTATGTTGAGGACTCCCTTGTGCGTGGCCCACTCCCAACCCATAAGTCTAACTTGGAACCTTCTGCGTTGTCCCCTGGTTGCAATCTCCAAAGGAGGCAGCAACTGGAGGCAGCGGAAAGCAGGCAGCCCCGGTGCTAGAAACCGGCACCCTGTTTCTCGAGGTTACTCACTCCCACCAAGCCTGCCATCCTCCTCACCTTGTCCAGCTTCACCCGGAATTCTCGCCCGCATTCCATCGGGGTGGTGAAAGCATCCAGGTCTTGTCCCCAGAAGGCAAAAAACTTCTCAATGCGCAAGCTGCGGAGGGCGTAATAGCCAGCGTTCCGGATCCCATACTTCTGCCCCACGTTCATCACCTCGTTGTACACGTGGAGGGCATACTGGGGGGGGGGGGGGGGGAGGAGAGGCGCATTTAAATAACCAGCCTGGAAACTGAAGGCTGATAGCATTCCTCGGTCACTTATCTCTTCAAGGCTCAAGTCTTTTCCCTTTCGAGCCCCACACTTCTGAGATAGCATGAGATAAGCAGTCCAACACCACCAAGGCTTCCGTGCAACGTTTCTTTTATTGGATTATATTAGGCAGGATGCCTAAACGTACCTCAGAGTTATGTTGAGATCCATCTAATGTCCAATCTTTGCCTCAGTAGTTGCCTCCATCGTGTGTAAAGATGGTTATCTTCATCCCGTAGAGTTATAGCAAAGGAAGACTCCAGCACGATGCTGGGGTCCAGGTACAAATGCCCAAAAACTCCCCCAGCCCAACCAGAGATCAATTCAGTGGCCAATCAGGATTACAGATGTGACCACGTGACATGAACTACATCTCCCAAGAGGCATTAACTACATTTCCCATGAAGCATTCCCTTAAGGGGGCAGCTCTCATTCCTAAATTAACTATATACTGTCTAACCAGCACGATGACCTTCGGTGACATGGCAGGTGAGCTGGGCATAGGCCAGCCTTGCCCAACGTGGCCTCCAAGTGGCCTCCAACGTGGCCTCCTTCCCTAAACAGACTTCACTTAGGAACCTGAAAAGATGATACAGGCACTGTCTAGCTAAAGGCAGTCCTCAACTTGCAGCAGTTTCATTCGGTGATCAAAGTTACAACGGCACTGACCGTTTTTCACCTTTATGATTGGGGCAGCATCCCCATGGTCCCCCTAATTTACATTTGCATGTTTGGCCACCGGCTCATATTTATGACGATTGCAGAGTCCTGGGGTCACGTGATCCCCTTTTGTGACCTTCTGACAAGCAAAGTCCATGGGGAAGCTGGATTCATTTTAACAGCCGGGTTGCTAACTTATCAACTGCAGTGATTCACTTAACCACGGTGGCAAGAAAGGTCATAAAATGGGGCAAACTCACTTAATGAATTTTTACACTTAGCAACATAACCTTCACTGTGGTTATAACTCCGGGACTAGCTCTACTTTTTAGCAAAAGTCCTTAAACAGAAATTGTGGACGACGTCATGCCATTTGGGGATTAGTCCCTCCCCCCATAGGTACAAGCCCCCCCACCCCCCCCAACCGGGTGAAGATGGACCTTCCAACCACAAGCCCCGCTCACCTCGATGGGGATGTAAAGCATGAAGCCGGGCTCTCCCGTGTGTGTCATACTCATGACCCGGATGCCATTGGCATAGCCGACACTCATTTCCTGCGGAAAGAGGGACCACACCGTTTATACATCCAGAACAAAAACCCAAAGACAAAGGAATATTGTCGCTCACCTGACCGTAGGTAAGCAGCTTTAAACTGGAGGGAAACAAACTGTCAACTCATACAATATTTCTCTGGTCTTTCTAGAGGTGCCAAGAGAAAGGGAGGGGGGAGCAATGCAGCAGCTTGCAAACCGAAAGTGCATTCCATAAATGTTTTCAAAGATAGTAACTAGGTGACTGAAGTTTCTGCCTTGCAAACATCTAACTGGAGAGCCTGATTGATGACTCTTGGCTATGGATGTGTCCCATTGGAGAATATGAATTATGATACACCCAGAGGGTGAGGGGAAAAACCAGGGTCAATGGTGACAGTGAATGATGTGTCTCAGAGTCAGCTACACCCAGGCAGTGCCGGACATTTTAACTCCCAATAAATCCTTTTGAAGTTTTGGAAGTTTGGCTCGAGACTCAGGATTTAAAGTGGGGGAACTGCCGGAATCCTGACACTGACCTTCTCCACCAGAAGAAACTTGGCCCAGTGCCTAAGATCAAACAGTGGGTGACATGTGGGATCGGGGAGGGGCACGCCAGCTCTCTGGTCTGAGGACATAGACCATATTCCAGGCCAGCATTTCTCATCTCTGGCAACTAAGACCAGTGGACCAACTCCCAGAATTCCCCAGTCAGCTGTGCCATCACCCTCCTCCACATCCCCTGCACTCCTTACCTAAGCCTCCCGCCTCTTCCCACTTAACCTACATGGTCCCGGGGTTACAGCCACAACAGGGACTGCCAGGATTGCTGCCGCTAAGTGATACAGTCGTGCGGTGTCACATTGTGCAACCACATCATTTAGCAAGGGTAATCCCGATCTGAACTGCCATTGTTACTCAAGGATCATCCCTGTTGAGGTGAGCCGTGATGGCGCAGTGGTTAGAATGCAGTACTGTGGGCTGAGTCTGCCCATTGCCAGCAGTTTGATCCTGACCGGCTGAAAGATGACTCAGCCTTCCATCCTTCCAAAGTCGGTAAAATGAGGAGCCAGATTGTTGGGGGCAAGAGGCTGACTCTGTAAACTGCTTAGAGGGTAAAGCACTGTGAAACAGTATATAAGTCGAAGTGCTGTTGCCATGGCTACTGATTCCTTTGCACAAAGGAAAAGATGGAAGAGCAGATACAAAAAAGCCCATTTGTTCATTGAGGCATCCCATAATCGACACGAGCTGGCCTCCGACAAGCAAAGCCAACGGAGAAGCCCGCAAGCAAAGTTGCAAATAGCAACCATGTGATTCCTCACTTAAGGACTGCACTGCTTAATGATGAATTTTCTGAGCCCAGCTGAAGTCCTAAACGGAGGACCACCTGTAAGCATCCACGCAAGAAGGAAGAAAGTTGCTAAAGGAAACGGAAAAGGCCCCTACCTTACAAAAGAGGGAAGGGAAGTGTTCCGGTGTCATTGGCGCATAGGAGAGCTCTGACAGGACATCCATGGCACGTGGGCCAATCAGATTCAAGGCTGAAGGAAATACAAGGAAAAGACTTCAAGCATCAGAAGCAAAGGAGGGATTCTACCGGTTTGGGCGAACCGGTTGTTAAACTTGCATCTGGTTCGCTGAACCGGTAGTTGAACCAACCAGCTGCCCCCCCCCCCCCCCCCCCCCCCCCCCCCCCCCCCCCCACATGGCTCATTTTTGATGGAGGTAAATGCAGGGTCCATGCAGAGGTTTTAAGTGGGGGGGAAATGGGCCTTCCGGAAGTACCAGAAGTCCAGAAACGGACCTGTTTCTGGCTTCCGGAGGGTCTCCAGAGCCCGAGGGAGGCCATTTTCCCCCTCCCAGAGGCCCGGGGGAAGCCTCCAAACCCTTGGGAAGGCGAAAAGCGGCCCTCCCGGAAGTTCTGGTAAGCCATGCCCACCCAGCAACTGGGCAGCAAGCCGCCTGTTGGGACTTTTGAATCCCACCCCTCATCAGAGGCAACTGCAGAATAGGAAGCCTTGCCCCATTACTTCCCTCACTCTTCTCTTTGCAGCTTGTCCGCTCAACACAAATCAACAAAGGCTCGGAATCTTAAATCGGATTTCATCTGGGTGAGAGGAGACCCTTGACTTGGGACAAGATACCTGGAGATCCTAAGGCAAGTGCTTGGAATTTTTCCAGTTGAAGGCTTCTCGTATCAGCCTTCCAAAGCAAGCGCCCAGCTCTGCCAAACTCTGAAGCCCACCTTGAGCCACCGTTCTCAGCCAACTTTTGGGTTGGGCCCCTGGGACACGAGAACGTCAACTATCCATCCCATATCATGGCTGCCACGGATGGGAGAGCCAGTTTGGTCTAGTGGTTAAGGCACCAGACTAAAAACTAGGAGATTGTGAATTATAGAGCTGCGATGGCACAGAGGTTAGCGTGCAGTACTGCAGGCTCCTTCTGCTAACTGCCGTCTGCCTGCAATTTGGCAGTTCAAACCTCCCCAGGCTCAAGGTTGACTCGTCCTTCCGATGTCGGTAATACGAGGACGCAGATTGTTGAGGTCAATAGGCAGACTCTGTGTACCGAGTGCTATTACTAAGTGCTCTAGTCCTGTCTGAGGCATAAAAGCCAGCAGGTGACTTTGGACCAGTCACTCTCTCTCAGCCCAACTCATGACATGTGGCTGTTGTGGAGCAAATAGGTGTGTTGGATATGTTTGCTACCCTGAGTGATTTGTAAAAATAACCAAGGAGACAAATAAATAAAGGTACCAACTTGGATCTACCACTGACACACTAACCAAGAGACACAACAAGCCTTGTGTATCTGGCACAGATTAAAACCAATTTGCTATATTTATGGTTTTTGCTCTGAATAACGTTAAATGTGAAAAGTCCCAGGGGGAAACACGTCATTCCCGCATCCCTGACTTGCTCAGTTTCAGGTACCCAGAGAGCTGAGGATCCTCTGGGTGGATGGTCAATAGCTCTGAGATTCCAAACAGGTGGGCAGCTAGATTGATTCACCTGAACAGAGACCTGTTAACCCCGAACAAGGTTAACTAGGAGTGAGGTGTCTGAACCCTGCAAACAAAAAGGCAGGCCAGCCTGCAGAATCTGAGGTTCCCTTGGAGAAGGACCCTGCCCTGGTCCAGAGGAGTTCCAGACCAGTCCAGCAGCTGGCAGCTCCCCTCACCTGTGTATTTCCAGGTAACATCTTCCAAGAAGAGGTTGCTGTCTTCAGGCATGTGCTTCTTCAACCAGGCCCAGCAGTGAACCTGCTGGTCTGTGGGGGAAATCATGAAGAAGCTGCAGTAAGGAACACAGAAAGTGCATTTAAGCCCAGAGGGGACAATTTCTATACAAAGCTTTCGAAAAGGTGCCGTCAGATAACACTTTCATTACTTATTCCACCAGGCAGCGCGTCATGCTCAGGACTTTGAATCTGATGCTGAAGATGCTGCTCCAGCAGAAATCTCTGGAATGTCAGCCTCAGGGGAGAGAAAGACAGGAAGCACCTGTGGCTGGTCAAACACACCTGAGCACCTGCAATCGCCGGATGATGTAAGGCTTCCCAGTCTCCACCCCCAGAGGGTAGAGCAGAGGTGTTCAACGAGGCTTCTTATTTATTTATATTTTCTATTTCTTAACTCTTGCCAAGCAAGGAAGTAAATAGCACTTAGACTTATATACCGCTTCACAGTGCTTTACATCCCTCTCTAAGCGGTTTACATAGTCAGCCTTTCGCCCCCAGCAATCTGGGCTGAGTCAACATTCAGCCTGGTTGGATTCGATCTCCCAAATTGCAGGCAGCAGAATTAGCCTGCAGTACTGCATTCTAACCACTGTGCCACCACGGCTTAATCTCTTGCCTAATAACAGCTAACTACAGCCCGATTTAAGAGGCAATTCTGACCCATGTTCCCTTTGCCGGAATCAACCATCTGACCTCTGGCTCTTGTGTGGCGTTTGTGCGGCTTCTGGCTTGTGAAATTCTGGACTGACTGACAACGCTGATCTAACTCTTGGATCCTTGGACTGATTTGGGACTATTCCTCTGCACTCTCCTTTGAAAAAGCTAACCATTCAGGCAAGCATTCGTTAGAGACTCTGTTTAGATTTGCAGGCTTTGGCTGTTGTTATCTCTTTGACCTTGAATAAAGTATGAATTACCATAGCTACAGTATGGGACTATTTGAGACCAGGAGTAGGACACAAAGTGTGGCCGCATCTTTTCCAAATAACTCCATTTTATTAAAAAGCATAACTGTCTTAACAGCCAGCCAACAAAAATGGCCACTCAGGTGTTCATGATCCAATTCTGATCACGACAGATTTCTTACTTGTCTCGTTTCTCAATACAATGACCACCTTATATATACTACAACATTTCGTTCTCTAGGCTTGCACAAGGCCCCAGTTGTGTATATCACACCATCAACAGACTAGTTAACATAATTTATCAGATGAACCACAAGTGATTGGCCTGACACTACAGGTTACATGACTGATCATGGTGTAAGGAAAAATATCCAGGAACACACCACACATTTTGGCTAAGCAAAGATAGAAATTCCTGGACTGTCTTCTGAATCTGTGTATATGAAATTAAAGTATGGAATGGGGAATATGCCTCCCCTTTCTAGTTACACTCAGGTGATTCAATTGCTTTGTACCTGCGTCCAAGCAGACAAGTGTTACATAGAAACCAAAGCCTCTCTTAAACCACAGGGACGGTCCAGTAATATTATGAGCTGTGATATAATCATGCAAGTGATGCCACACTGAGTTTATCATTCTGACATCATCACGGCTTCGACGAAATTCTGGGTATGGGTGGCAAGTCACCCAGAGGCCCCTCAGGCTGATGCCAGTGAGTCTCCTGACTGGAGCTGGAAGACCTTACCTGCGTTTGTTCAGACGGGCTATGCTGCAGTCATTCTCATACCCTCCGTTGTGATTGAGCATCCCTGTATGCACAATATGCCCAACTGGCACATCCAGGTCGTTGGAGAAGAGGTACTGCAGAACTTCCAAAGCTTGTCCTCCCGTCGACTGCAGCAGGTGGGAAAAGGAACACAAAACGTCAGCACAGCTGGACAGGTGAGGCCAAGACACATCAGAAGCCAGCATTTTAGTCCTTGCTGTGGCCCATCTGATGCCTATCAGCTGCAAGAAGCAATGGAGACTTGGTGTCCCCTGGCATGAGTCTCCTGTAGAAGCATTCGGAGCCAAACTGCCTCTGACCCAGAGATAATTTGGTACCTGGATATTACCGTGTCTCCCCGAAAATACAACCTACCCAGAAAGTAAGTCCTAGCTTGATTTTTACAGGTACAACCAATATAAGCCCTACCCCCCAAATAAGCCCTATTTTAAAAAAACCACCCACTCCAGGTGCACAGGTAAAAATTAAGCTAGGGTGGGGTGGGGGGAACTGCCCTACTACTTCCTGAAGGCCTCTGTAGCCAATAACAGAGCTCCAGATCGATCTGGAGCTCTCTTATTGGCCGCAGAGGCCTTCAGGAAAGCCTTGCTGGCCAAAGAAGTTCCTGAAGGCCTCTGACAGCAAAAAGGAGGCCAGGGGGTGATGCATGCAAGTGAGGACGACGTTTCCCTCCCCGCACCCTGGAAACCTGGTGCCTTGTTTGGTGGCATATATATCGTATTTTCAGGGAAACACTGTAATAACCACTAACACACCTGTCCAATGCATCTATGAACTATTTAAATAAAAATTCCACATCCAGAAAAAATTGATTTGTGAACCACTGGTTCCCAGAAACAGAAATAAAAAGAAACAAAAAAGGAGGAGCTAAAATTATGAAAACTCCTTAGCCTTAAACCAAATTTGGCAGATCACAATGAGCTGGTGTTTTGCCTTTGTCTAAAAATAATCTCTACCTTCTTAAGGTATAGAATGGTTTCACATGTTACACAAAGTTAAGACTTGCAATTAAAAGTTTTACCCTACCTTAAATTGGTTGCATTTGCAAATGACACTAAGCAATAAAGACTTACATGCCCCGCTGTTTACTTTCACAATATGTTACTAAGATAAAGACAAAGCCTAAAAATTTATGTCTTGGGTTTCTAAGTAAAAATGATCGTTAACTCCATTTGTTGAGAAAGTATAGTTTACTAGAAGTCAAGTGAATTACGGTAGCGTCAAACCAGAACGAAGAGTTCGCACCAGGCTTTTGCCAGTTAACTTTCCTCCCTTGGTCCCTTCCCATTTTGTGTCTCTCATGGTCCAATCAGGTTTAAGGGAGATGTTTTGGAAATGGTCACTCTACGGGTCGGCATTCTTCTCCCAGGGAACCGACCTTGGTTCTCACAGAGGAAGGTTCTCACAGTTTAGTTTCCCTTTCCCCCAGGCCCTCACCAGCCCCTTCCAGCTTCCCCTCAGGTGTCATGCCCCTGGTGGAGACTGACTCTGAGGGAGAGGAGGAACAGCCGACAGGGAGTGGAGTTGTGGCTCCGGAGGTTGTGGAGGAGGCTGGGGAAGGGCAGAGGCCGGCTGAGCAGTCAGAGGAGGACCCAGGCCCATCCTTGCTCCATCCTAGGGCACGCAGGGAGGAGAGGATAAGGGAGAGACATGGTCTACTGGGGAGGAGAGGGCCTTGATCCTCTTCATGGGCTGCAGCTGTGACAACTGAATAAGAGGACGGACATGCGTACTGGCAAGTGCTGGAAACAAAGCATGGAAATATTTCTAGTTTATGGTTCCTCTCTGAATTTGGTGTCCTTCCCAGTTTGTGTTATCTGTAGACATCCTCCAGCCCTTATCTTGCCTGGTTTGTGTTGCTTTTTTCCTTCTTCTTGTAACTGTTTGTGTGGGAGTTTTTTGTCTTCTGTCAAAAATATTCGGAGCTTGGAAGCAAAGTGAAGGAATAAAAGGGGCTTCACCTGTTTTCTGTGACTGTGTTTGTTTTGTATCCCACCCTGGGTCATCACCCCAGGCTTCATGGCAGACTGGCAGACTGGCAGGGAAGTGGCAGTTCCGACACTCTGCAAACTAACATGGAAAGCTTGCAAATGAAAAGGAAAGCTTTGGAGGAGGACGCACTTACGCTTATCTCGAACTTGGTGAATGAGGACATGTCAATGACACACACAGCCTCTTTGCAGCATTTGACCTCTGCACCCACAATGTCAAACCAATCCGGCTTGTAAAACGTCTTGCTCTGATCCAGAGCCAGCAAATCTGCAGGAGAGGAAGCACAAGGCTTCAGGATGGGCCCCCAAACGTGGCTCCCGGGGGGGGGGTGCATCCAGGGGGAAATTGCTCTCACCTTTCCCTGGAGGGACAAAGAATTTTGCCCTCTCAAAGCCATGCTTCTCCATCCATCTCGCTCCTTGGGCGTCCAGCCGGTCGTACAGGGGAGACGTGCGGAGTTGCCGGCCGGTCTGGAAATCCCAGCGGGGAACTTTTAAATCGTAGATCAGGGCTGGAGAGGGGCCACAGAACCACAGAATCAATGTGCTGGAAGGGACACAGCGCATTATCTTCCCAGTCCAGACAGAATATCCTTTTACAATTGTCCGAATACCCAGATGAAACTTTTAACAGAAAAACAAAGGCCTCCAGGATATCAATCTCAATTCAAGAAGCTCTTTGAACTATTTCTGGATTTGGGAAAAAAATGTTCCTTCTGCTTTCTCTAGCATTGATCTAATGTGTGGAGTCCTACGTGCTCTCTGAACTTGGTTGCTTTCCTGTAGACGTTTCAAGGCCTAACTAGGTAACATCTCCCCAGCACGATGCTCGGAGCTTCAGAGAGTGTACCAAGGACTCCACGATTCAGTCTTGAGCTACATTTTTTCTTCTATAGGTCCTTTTCTAATCTCTTAAGCCAATTTAGGTAGTCAGAAAGAAAGGTGCATCATTTCTTACTTCCTCTCATTATGACCTATGGCCATGATGGTGAACCTACGGCACGGGTGCCACGAGCCACAGCCAAACTTACCTGCACTGCTCATACGCGCGCCTCCTGGCTGATTTTCGGCCCATTTGAGGCTATTTTTTCCCTCATGGAAGCTTGAGGAAAGCCTCTGCAGCCTTTGGTGGCAGAAAAACAGGCCCATTTCGTCACTTCCTGTATTTCCAGAAATACCGGAAGTGACAAAACGAGCCCATTTTTCAGCCTCTGAAGGCTGCAGAGGCTTCCCTCAAGCATTTGGGAGTCTGAAAAAGGCCTCAAACAGGCCGAAAATCAGCTGGGAGGTGCACAGTGCAGGTAAGGGGAAGCGGGGTTGGGGAATCGCATGAGCATGTATTGGAGGGGGGGCTGCACGCACTGCCTTCTGGGTGCTGGCATGCGAGTGCGCACACACAAGTGTGTGCACAATTTTCAGCACAGCAGCCCAAAAAGATTAGCCACCACTGACCTATGGTGTAACTTTACTTTTATAATAAGGTTTCCACTGATTATGTCTGGCTTTAAATTGAAGCCAGGATGTTCAGCCGGTCTGAACAACTGAAAGCCAACTATGTTTAATATGAACCTTCCTAAAAACAGGAGGAGAAGGTGACTTCCCCAAGAGGTTCCAAACCACTTAATTCTACGCAAAAGGCCAAGAGTTTTGCTTGCTCTTTCTTGGCAATACAGTAATAATAATAATAAGCAAAGTTAACACCAATAGTAGGCACCTTGGGTGCAATCCCAAAACATCCAGAATCTCAGCTAACATCATTTGAATATCGGCATTGACAAAATCATCACCAGTCAATTGCAAAAGGCAGCTGACCAGCTTACATCCTCATCCTGAGGCGATATCATCAAGCAACAACATTTTCCTATCCTAGATCCTTTGGAAGGGCTCAATGGGTGGACAAAAATGCCAAATCCAGTCTCAGCATTTGGTGGACTGTGCAACCAATGAAAATAATAATGAAACATTTCCACCCATTGAGAAACACCTTCCAAAGTCTTGAGCTTCCTGGCACGGCTGTTCTAAGAGCCTCTTTAACAAATGAACCACCAGCTACCAGCCAGGAAACTGGCGCAGCCCCTTGCCCACCTCCATGAGCCACATGGCGAGTCCATGGAACACGAGAGGCAGGCAAACTTCGGGGCTACTTACGCATCACTTCCATGACCCGATGACGGAGGAAAGTACGGCTGCTCTGCAGAGCTCCAAAGCGCTTCAGGTCCAAGGGCCAGACGTTGTCAGAAGGGTAGCCATTCACCATCCATTCGGCCAGGTACCTGTTATCAAAAATACACAGAGCTGGAAAGAGGCTGTGGGAGGCTATCAGGTCCGTCCGTTTGCAGCACAAATTCGCATCAGAGCACCCTCCTGACAGGTGGCTTTTGAATCTCCTGAAGATATCCAGAAAACCCATCGCCCCAAGTCACAGATTCCAAACCGCACAATGAGAAATGCGAGGACAACCATAAAAGGAACTCAGAAAGGTCAACCAGAGGTCCCAACCCTAAACAGCCACTTTGGGGCAGCATCTCAGAATGGTCAGCAATGCCACTTTTTGCAAAGAAGGAAGAAACTACAGAAGAGAAAAGAAAAAGGGACGTATCCGTGATCTGATTTTATACTTATCCATGCCACGTATCTAGAAAAAAAATGTGATTCAACCACTTTGAAAAGTGAATAAAGAAAAACAGTATGCGTATCTCTATATATAAAAACAAAATACCCCTCACACATCTTCACAAAATCTCCAGGATTGTAAAGCCTACAAACTTGAAATTCGGCACTCATGTTCCTCTTGGCTTCTAGGGGCTCACTAAGAAAGGATTTTTCCAAATGACCATCAGAGCATTTAGAGTATTCCCTATATTATTATTAACATGCTCTGATGCTAAGGAGTTCTACTCCCCCTCCCCACCTAGAAAGAAACCTGTTCCAAATGCAAAACACAAGCAGAGGAGTTTCAGTTTCACAGCAGCAGCAAGCTCCTTTAGTACAAAACAGTTGAGCTAAGCCACGCCCAGGCTCCTTGCTATCTCCTTGCTCACACAGCAAATACTCTTTCAGTTTCCAAACAGCCCTCAACTCTCTCACACACTGACAGGATGCTAGCCAGATGAATACCGATGGATGCTGGTAGGCAGAGGCAGAATTCCCCCCCCCCTCCTTATTTTCCTCCCCCAAAACTAAGCTTGACCACATAGTTTCGTAGCAAAGCATGGCTATCGAGCTAGTGTTAAAATAGGAATGTCATCTCATAATGTCATCTTTACATCTCATAAACAAGTCAGAATAATAGCCCAGTGAGGAAGCTCCCGACTTCTGAAGGCAACTTCTCCATTGGTTGATTAGTCCATGAAGTCTTACTAGCCTTCTATTTTAAAAAGGGTTGTGAAAGTATAGTCATGTAGGACAGAGGCCCCCGCAACCTTTTGGGCACCAGAGACCAGTTCCGTGGAGACGTTTTTCTTTGGACTGGAGGGTTTTGTGGGCTGCCTGCATCTTTGCTTGTTTGCGTGGTCCAGTTTCTAGCATGTCGCAGCCCGATGCCAGTTCTCGGACCAGGAGTTGGGGACCCCTGATATAGGATATTAGCCTTTCAGGAAGTTAAGAAAAAAAGGAAAGGAGTCCTTGAGGATTTTACTCCACTCAAATATAAGGGGCGGCGCTCATATAAATATAAGGGACCTGGCTAGTCTAGTGAAGAGAAGGATTAGGGGAGACAGGAGAGCAGCCTTCCAATAGTTGAGGGGCTGCCACAGAGAGGAGGAGGGGGTCGAGCTATTCTCCAAGGCACCCGAAGGCCAGACAGGGAATAATGGATGGAAACTGAACAAGGAGAGATTCAACCTGGAAATGAGAAATTTTCCGACAGAGAACAATCAACCCATGGAACAGAAATTGCCTTCAGTAGTTGTGGGAGCTTCATCCCTGGAGGCTTTCAAGAGGAGACTGGACTACCAGAAATGGTGTAGGGTCTCCTGCATGGGTGGGAGGTTAGACTAGGTGCCCTACAAGGTCTCTTCCAACTCTGATTGTCTGTAAAGGCTGCTCATCTCCATTTCAGTAAGTTAAGAACTGGGGGGAAAAAAAATCATTTTCCTAGGTAGAAACCACCCCCAAGTTTTCCCTCCCCTCCCCGATAGGAAATGAGTCCACTTACTTGCCTGCTCCACCTCCAAAAGACGTACCAGCCGCATTCATTCCTGCTAGGACGAAGTAGCCCTGCCTGGTGGGGGATTCTCCCATGATGCACCGCATGTCTGGAGTAAAGGATTCTGGGCAGTTCACCAGCTGCATGATCTCCAGGGCCTCCATATCCGGCATCCTCCTCAGCAAGGCACTCAGCAGTGGCTCTGATTCCCCCCCAAGGCAGAGCAGACAATTATCTCTGCCCATGGCAGAGAAAAGAGGGGATACGTCCCTTCTCCCACCGCCCCAAGAGAGGGCCAGGCCTCCAACAAGGACCCTTGAGAACAGGGGTGTCCAACCTTGGCAACTTTAAGACTTGCGGACTTCAACTCCCAGAATTCCTCAGCCAGCAAAGCGTACCATCGTGCCTACAGTCCCTGTCCTATTGTCCCCATTTATTCATACCTATTTCCTGTATTCATACTCATGTTTATTCTTATACCTATTATCTTGTAAGTGATTGACAAATCAAATCAAGTCAAGCCAATAAATAAATAAATAAACTCCTGAGCCAGCTAGAATGCTGGCTCAAGAATTCTGGGAGTTGAAGTCCGTAAGTCATAAGGGGCCCATCGTTTCCCCCACCCCTCTGCTTTACACCAATGGTCTGGCCGCCTTACCAAAGTGATCCCAGTCCTCCTGCAAGTTGTGTATCTCCAGCTGATTCTTGCCCTCAGTGAAAATAGGCTTGGGGTTCTTCTCAAAGCCACCCGAGAGGATGCCCCCCTTCCAGCTGCGGATGTAGATCCTCCCATCGAGGTCCACAATAGCTGCGGAGGAGAGAAGCAAAGGCTTGAACCCGGGGAGAATAACAGGATGCAGAGGGGTGAGGAGGGGGGGAAACCAACCGAAAACACAGAGGAGGGGGCTAAGGGCGCCACTGCACCCAGGATTCCTGCACCCAGGGCCTGGCTGCCTCCTCACACAGCCCAGGTCAAGAGAAGAAGGGCTGCTGGTGCCAGATCTTCTCTGGCAAAGGGAATCCCAGCAGGAACCCATCTAGGTGTGATGCCCCTGGGATGCTCTGGTGCTGCTCTCTGCTCAAACAAGGCCGCTTCAAAGTGTCAGCACAAGCACAGGGAGCCCCCAAAACTTTATCTTCACTCTTCTCCAGAGCAGCTGGGTGTTCTGGCCTCAGCTTCCCCAAAAAGCACTAAGCCGACTCTTTGTCTCGGCAAAACCCCTTTTACTAAATGAAGGTGAATTTCTCGCATTCACTTTTAGCCAAAGGCCTGGCCAACAGTCTTTCAAGGGTGTAATTAGGAGCACAGACGTTATCTAGCCAAGTAAATATTTCCAAACGCAGTGCTGACAAGGAAGGACTCAGCACAGAGTCTCTGAGATGTACAGACAGATCTTCACACTGCAGCAATGAACGAATTGTTCCTGCAAAAGCCCCCTCCCCTTTTGCTCCCCTTTTAATCCCTATGGGAGGGGTCATTCAACGTCCACCAGTGGCTTTACTCCCACGTCAACTCTTAGTTCGTAATTGTTCTTCTTTTGGCAGCTCTGGGCATGCGCAGGCTGGGAACTGGCTCCAGCTGCTCCTCCACCTCACTGCTGTCTGAGCCCTCAGGCAGCTGACAACTGCCAGCCTGCCCTGGCCTCATCTCTGCCTCCGACTCATCTGAGCCTTCCCCAGACTCCAGAACTGGCCCAGGTTCCTCCCCAACCTCCTCACTGTCCGATTCTGCTGCCAGCTTCATCAGCCACTGGCAGGCCACAACACTGGGGGCTTCTTCAGAACCACAGCTATTGGGCTGAGGTTCTCCTCAACAAAAGAATAGCATTTAGACTTATGTATCACTTCACAGTGCTTTACAGCCAAGCGGTTTACAATGTCAGCCTCTTGCCCCCAACAGTCTGGCTCCTCATTTTACCCTCCTTGGAAGGATAGAAGGCTGAGTCAACCTGGAGCCTGGTGAGATTCGAAATGCTGGCAGTTGGCAGAATGAGCCTGCAATATTACAGTCTAACCACTGTGCATCATGGACGGACGGATGGATGGATGGGCAATAACAGCAGCACTTAGGCTTATATACCACTTTATAGTGCTTTCCAGCCCTCTCTAAGCAGTTTACAGAGTCAGCCTCTTGCCCCCAACCATCTGGGTCCTTGGAAGAACGGAAGGCTGAGTCAACCTTGAGCCTGGTGAAAATGGAACTGCCAAACTGCTGGCAGCCAGTTTCAACAAGCTTCCGGGAAGCGAAGAATCTTCTCTAAATAGAATCAGGCCTTGCCCAATAATGTCCTGTATTTAGGTCTCAGGCCAAGGCCTTTTACGCCTGTTCATGCCCTTTAACTCAGGGATGTTGTTGTGGCCTGTTGGTTGCTGGCCCCTCCAGCAGCCAAATCAGAGGAGAAGGAAGAGGAGGCATGGGAGTTAGGGTCAGCATCAAGGCAACCTGAGAGCTCTGAGGGGGAAGAGGGAATGGAGCTGGCAGAGAGACAGAGGCAGAGCCTGGGTCACCCGTCAGCCCTCAGATGGAGAGTCAGCAGCCCCCAGGCCTGGAGTGGCTGATGAGGAAGAGGAGGAACAGCAGGGTCCAGTGTCTGATGCATGGATGCACAGAAGGGAGAGGAGAGCAGTGGAAATCTATGGGCCGGTCCTTGGGACGGAAGAGCCACCGCTGCTAGCGAGGCCCCATCTTAGCTCTGGGGATAAAAGGCAGGAGGGCGGAGATGAACAGATGTGGCAGACAATTATTCATCTCCCCTGCTGGACAGACTTGTTAGCCTGCGTTGAGAGAGAAACATTTTGCCGGGGATAAAGGAATCACTGCTTCAACTACAGAGGGTTTGGGGAGCTGGGTTAGAACAGATGTCCAACCGTGGCAACTTTAAGATTTGTGGACTTCCAAGTCCCAGAAGTCCACAAGTCTTAAAAGTTGCCAAGGTTGGATACCCCTACCTTAACTCAAAAGACAAGAAATCGGTGGTGCTCCAAGTGTCCAACTGGCAGGCAGTCAGCCTGTGTCCAAGCCCCCTGACCCTGGAGTTGATGGCCCCTGAACATCTGGAGCACCTGGAGCTTCCAACCTTTGCTTTGCATATGGGCACCAAGCACCTCTGAACTAAACACCCATGGCCTGCCATTGTGCCAAAGGCCAAGCACCTGTAAGACAGCGCAAGAGAAGGTTCCTCACTTGGAGTGCTACTCTCCAGGGGGGTCTTCAGGGGGTGCGTCAGAAGGTAGAAGTGCTCGCAGGCATGCAGCGGGATGCTGACTGGCTCCTCGTTGGAAAGGCCGAGCTCGTAAGCCCACTGAAAGCAAAGAAGGAATTTTTAAAAAAAAAAAAAACCAAGGGCAGGTTTTACATCTACGAGGCTCATTCTTCAACTTGCCCTATCTCAAAGAATCATTTCAACCCAGTTTAAATGCAGGAATAAAAGGCACCATAATAAGAAACCCAAAGCCCCACATTGTATAGGAACAAATAGAAATCCAGAAAACTTAGAAGTATATGTAAGTTGGTTTGTAACCTCGAGGACTGAAACAACTGTTAATTTTCAATATTTTGTTCCAAAAGGACACTTGCATTTATAATCCATTAGGAATTTCTTTTATTAAACTGAAACTATGGAAACTAAATGCGAGTAAAATAATCCTTAACCAAAGTGCTTCAGAACACTTTATATGTTGTGTTAAATTTTCAGGCAGTGCTATTTCCCATATTTTTAGATATCATTGATGTAAAGAAACAGTGTTTTGCTATAGTGAACTTGGCAGCTAATAACAAACACAATTGATTTTTTTTAGGCTTCATCGTAAGGACTTGGGAAAAATTAACAGTAAGATTGGGTTAGAATGGCTTATCCATTTTAATTGCTTCTTTATTTTTTTTTTAATTCAAGTAGAACAAGTAGATATCAACTTCAGAAATAGTAATATGGAATATGATGATTACAGTCTTTCCAGATCAATCTAGAATTACTGTCATTTTAAGAAGAAGCTTTAATACTCTTTTTGGTCAATTCTGGGATTTGCTCTATTAGAGGGGAAATTTAGTTAATGAGATTCTTATTGTTGCCAAAGAAACAGCAGTGATAATATATCTGGTATGTAGTACAAGGAAGAAAGATTGCAGGATGGATGTAAACAATTGTCAGGGAAGAAGTACAAGGGTCTGTTCTCTCTTGTCACCAGAGACAAAATACATAAGGAACAAGTTATTTGCTATTTTGTTTTACAGCCTGCTTTTCAACTGGTGTTGCATACAGTTGGTAAATATTGGGTAATATGGTTTAACACTCGCTGAGCACAATTCTGCATAATTAGTGCTGATCACCCAGTGCAGGTAAGGGGGTGGGTGGGTGGGTGGAGAAGCACCCAGTGCAGGTAAGGGGGTGGCAGGGGGTGGGTGGATGGGTGGAGAGGCACCCAGAAGGCAATCCATAGGGGTGTGGGGAGGGCGTGCATTGCCTTCTGGGTGCCGGCATGTGAACGTCAGTGTGCAAGTGCGCACACAATTTTTGGCACAGGAGCCCAAAATCTGCCCCAAAGAGAATACCCAGACATGGTCAGGCTGACAAGCCCTTCAGCCCCACAGTCCAATCAGGGCCTCACCTGCCCAGCACAGTTGACGAAGTAGGAGCACTCAATCATCCCTCTGTCCGTCTCCACTCCAGTTACGCAGCCCTTCTGGCCCAGGACGTGGATGACACTGGCTTGTTCGTGGATTTGAACCCCTGGGGAGACAAGAGCGGAGAGGAAGTTGGGTGGTCTCTGGTGATCCATTGCAAGGGAAAGCTGCAAAGAACCTGGTCTTTCACTATCATTCTTGGCTCTGCTCACCCCAAAGTGCCACACTGCAAGGAACACAACTCAACAGAAACACAACTCAACGGAGCCTCACCGCCATTCATGCTCCTTGACAAGCACAGTTTGACAAACGGAATGCTGCCTTCAAAAGGCTATCATCTCACAGCGAGATACCTTGACACAGAAACAGGCAGAAGCCACGCTCCAGTCCTGCCCAGAAATCTTGAGCAAACTCTGCCAGAATCAGTAAAGACTAATTTTGATCTGACCCAGAAGGACAGTTCTGGGGCTCTTAAACAAAGGTGAGGAGTTTGTGGACAGGATCACTGCTCCAGAACTTCATCTGCAGGCAAGAATTCCCTTTGCGACATTCAAAACGAAGGCAACGTAAGGAATTCAGCTGCAGCAATGAAGCAAAATGCAGGATAATTATACAGCCCGGGTGGCGCAGTGGTTAGGATGCAGCATTGCAGGCTAATTCTGTCGACTGATTCTGACCGGTTGAAGGTTGACTCAGCCTTCCTTCCTTCTGAGGTGGGTAAAATGAGGACCCAGATTGTTGAGGGACAATAGGCTGACTCTGTCAACCACTTAAGAGAGGGCCGAAAAGCACTGTGAAGCGGTATATAAGTCTATGGGCTATTGCTATTACTGAGGTTAGTTTAGCAATAGCACTTAGACTTATATACCACTTCCCAGTTCTTCACATCCCTCTCTAAGCTGTTTACAGAATCAGCCTCTTGCCCCAACAATCTGGGTCCTCGTTTTACCCACCTCAGAAGGATGGAAGTCTGAGTCAACCATGAGCCTGGTGAGATTTGAACTGCCGAACTGCTGGCAACCAGCAGTCAGTAGAAGCAGCCTGCAGTACTGCACTCTAACCATTGCGCCACGGTGGCTTAAGTTAAGCCTTAACTTAAAGAGTTTTTCTGCACCTAAAAGGCCCACTTAGCACAGAGTTCTTTGGCCTACCAGAGTTACTAGTGTGGCCAATGGGGCTGTACCACCACTGAACTGGGATGGACTCAACTTTCAGCCTCTTGGAAGTTGTGGGGAGATATGGGACACTGTCATGGTTTGTAACCGATTTTATGTCACAAATAAGCAAACAGCATTTAGGGTAATGAGCTAAGATTTCTTAAAAACAACAACACATGGGCCCAAGAAAGCCAACAGGGTTGTTTTGCAAGAGCCACGGTGGCGCAGTGATTAGAATGCAGTACTGCAGGCTACTTCTGCTGCCTGCCAGCTGCCTGCATTTTGGCAGTTCAATTCTCACCAGGCTCCAGGTTGACTCAGCCTTCCGTCCTTCCGAGGTGGTAAAATGAGGACTCAGATTGTTAGGGGCAACAGGCTGAGTCTGTAAACCACATAAAGAGGGCTGGAAAGCACTGTGAAGCTAAGTGCTATTGCTATTGCCCTTCCATCCATCTATCCAATCATCTATCCATGGTGTGCAGTGGTTAGAGTGCAGTACTGCAGGCTATCTCTGCTGACTGCCAACTGCCAACAGTTCAGCAGTTCAAGTCTCACCAGGCTCAAGGTTGACTCAGCCTTCCGTCCTTCCCAGGTGGGTAAAATGAGGACTCAGATTGTTGGGGGTAAGAGGCTGACTCTGTAAACTGCTCAGAGAGGGCTGTAAAGCAGTACATGAGTCTAAGTGCCATTGCTATCTTCAGATTCTGTGGGACTTCTTGATCCAAGCAAGGCCATCTGATATGGCCGCCTCTTGCTCACTACGAACAGCACAATGCTTCTTTGAAAAACAGCAGCCCTCTGCAATGCCAACTTCAGTTCACACCATGTTGTGATGTCAGTGTCCTTTGTTGTCACTAAAGGGTGAAGGAGGGCTCCTAAAAGCCTACAGGAGGCCACCTTCTCCAGTGAGGTTCCTCCAGAGATAACAGTGTTCAACTCTCACGATCTCTTGCCCAGGGGGTGTCCAACCTTGGCAGTTTTAAGACTTGTTGGCTGAGGAATTCTGGGAGTCGAAGTCCACAAGTCTTAAGGTGGCCATGTTTGGAGCCCCAATACCATCAAAGACAAGACACTTTCAAGGCGGAGAAAGGTCTTCTCCACCACAATGCTCTGACCCTTTTCCTTGGAAAGTCCCAGAATTAACCTGCAACCCAACCCCTTGAAGCCATACATGCAGGGCTGGGCTTTTTCGTGCCACTCCAGTCAACCGTGACCAGAGATCCTGCCCTCTGCCCAAGAAGGACCATCTACCTGGTCTTGCTTAGGGCAAAAACACAGGAGACAGTGATAACTATATTACTCCCCATCAGCTGAAGCTTCCTTGTTTTCAGGATAGGGTCTAAAACAGTTCTCTCCATATGCCTCAAACAGAAGCGGCTTCTCATAAAATGCCCACAAAACGACATACACCCAATGTGTTCTGACCAAGCTCCACAAACACAACAAACCCTCTGAAGTGAACTCAAAGATTCCTTTATTAGGAGCGCCAGCAGCCCCAGCAAAAAGTTCCTCTCTCGATGCAGGCTAACAAGTCTGTCCTTCAGGGAGATGACTAGTTGTCTCCCACATCTATTCATCTCCATCCCCTGCCTTTTGTCCCGAGAGCTAGGGTGGGACTTCGCCAGCAGCGGTGGCTCTTCCGTCCCAAGGACCGGCCCATAGATTTCCACTGCTCTCCTCTCCTCTGCCTTTTGTGCATCCATGCGTCAGGCCCTGGACCCAGCAGTTCCTCCTGTTCCTCATCAGCCACCTCCAGACCTGGGGGCTGTTGACTCCCCATCTGAAGGCTGACAGACAGCCCAGGCTCCACCTCTGCCTCTCTCTCTCTCTCTGCCAGCTCCATTCCCTCTTCCTCCTTGGAACTTCTCAGGTTGCCTTGATGCTTACCCTAACTCCCACGCCTCTTCCTCCTCCCACCTCTGATTCGGCTGCTGGAGGGGCCGGCGGCCGACAGGCCACAACTCAATGCCTTAAAGAAAAGCTGGAGGGGAGTCTATCCCTGTGGTTTTGCAGCATCATTCCACGCCCTCCCCCACCCAAGCAGTGCTCCACCCCCCGAGAAAGGGAGCCCCAGCAGGACACTGAGCAGGCTGGGTCATACCGTTCGCTGCAGCAGCATTGGCCAAAGCGAGGGTGACGTCAGTAGATGATATGACGGCGTCCTCGGGCACATGCAGGGCCCCCACCAGGTCGTGGATGTTGATAAAGGGGTGGAGCTGGGCCACCCTCTTTGGTGGGATAAGCTCGCAGGGAATACCCATGATCCTGCCGGAGACACACAGGCACTGTTGTTACACCCTTGTTCCAACCAGGCTGGCGAAGGAGGGGCCACCCCACCAGACGCGCATATATGCGCCAGCTTACTTGAGTCGCGAGGCTATGCGCTTCAGCGAGATCAGCCGGTCCTGAGTCTGAGCTAGCGAGATGGAGCCCGTCTTCACGTAACCTGGTACAAAAAAATAACCCACTCTCAGCCTCCGTTGCAGTCCCACCAAACAGCCATTTTCTTGGATGGGAAAATAACGGAAGGGAGCAGAAGTTAAGAAGCAGATATTTCCCAACCTAGGTGGACATCAACTCCCAGAATTCTCTGCAATGACTATGCTGGTTGTGGAATTCTGGGAGTGGAAGTCAATATACCTGGGAATAGACACGGTTGGGACTCCCGGTGTTAGAAGGAAGAGCTTGGACAAGAGAATCCAGGCTTCTGATCTCTGCACAGCCATGAAGAGAAGCGAGTTTAAACCACGCCATTGTTATACAGGCAGTCCTCGACTAACGACCACAATTGAGCCTAATATTTCTCTTACTGAGACATTTATTGAGTTTTGTCCCATTTTATGACTTCTCTTGCCTCAGTTGTTAAGTGAATCATTGCAGTTGACAAGGTAGTAACCTGGTTGTCAAGTGGATCTGGTGTCCCCATTGGCTTTGGTTGTCAGAAGGTCCCAAAGCGGGATCACAAGATCCCAGAACAATGCAACGATCATAAATATGAGTCAAGCGCCTGAATTTTGATCACATGACCATGGGAAGGCTCCAATGGTCGTTAAGGGTTTGGCTAGTCCAGCGAAAAGAAGGATCGTGGGGACATGATAGCACTCTTCCAATATCTCAGGGGCTGCCCCAAAGAAGAGGGAGCCAAGCTATTCTCCAAAGCACCAGAGGGCAGGACAAGAAGCAACGGATGGAAACTAATCAAGGAGAGAAACAACCTAGAACGAAGGAGAATTTTCCGGCCAGTTAGAACAATTAATCAGGGGAACGACTTGCCTCCAGAAGTTATAAATGCTCCATCACTGGACATTTTTAATAAGAGATTGGATAACCATTTGTCTGAAGTGGTGTAGGATTTCCTGCCTAAGCAGGGGGTTGGACTAGAAGACCTCAAAGATCTTTTCTATCCTATTCTGTTCTGTTCTACTCTACTCTACTCCACTCTATAGTACCAGTATTTACAGACCCCTCACACCCCGGACATAAACTGTTTCAACTCTTTGCCTCAAAACGACGCTATAGAGCACTGCACCCCAGAACAACTAGACACAAGGACAGCTTTTTCTCAAATGCCATGATTCTGCTAAACATCCCTCAACACTGTCCAACTATTTACAAAGTCTGCAGTACCATTACCGTTAATCTTCTCATCACTCCTTATCACCCATCCCCTCCCACTTGTGACTGTATGACTGTAACTTTGTCGCTTGTATCCTTACGATTTATATGGACTGTTTCCTGGTATGATTTGATGGCTTATTGTACCCAGTGACTATCATTAAGTGTTGTACCTGATGATTCTTGCCTCTTGATGAATATATTTTTTCTTTTATGTATAATGAGAGCATTTGCACCAAGACAAATTCCTTGTGTGTCCAACCACACTTGGCCAATAAAGAATTCTATTCAGTTCAGTTCAGTTCAGTTCAGTTCAGTTCAGTTCAGTGCAGTCCTGTCCTGTCCTGTCCTATCCTATCCTACCTCTACTCCTGACACAGTTAGAGGGGGCCAGCAAGGTAGATAGAGGATGCCTTGTTTCTCCAAACTGACCCTCCAGGGCTTACCAGTTTCCACCCCAGTCTCTTGCTTGAGCTGCTGGTAGAGCTTCCTGGAGTAATCGGCCATCTTTAGCTCGATGGACAAATGGTGCACTGTGCTTACGATGCCTGCGCAGAACCGAGTGGAACCGGCTGCCAGCCTAAAAGGGAAAAGCCAGAGGTGAAGAGAAGCTCCAAACCCCAAGAAGGAGGAGGAACAAGAAGTCCCGGAGCTCAGTTGCAAGTTATACATACAGGCACTCCTTGACTTACAACCATAATGGACTCTGCTCATCACGATCATAAGTTGTGATGATTGCAAAACGGGTGGATCATATGGGTGCCTCGACTTACTGCCATATGACAGAAATTCTGGGCTCTATTACAGCCATAAGGACCACCTTTATGGTAAAAGAAGCAGAGATGCGGTCCAGAATGAATAAGACAGGGGTGTCAAATTGAATGCCTTCGAGGGTTGGATCAGCGCTGTAGTTGCTGCATTTGCTGAGGACTGGGGGTGGGGGGGTGGGGAAGAGATGGGACGGATGCCTCCTGTAGCATTTTGCCAGCCCAAACCGGGCATGGGCGGCATATTAGCCCCCTCCCCGTGCCCGGTTTCCTGCCTGGACGGACGCATGCCCCCCCCATGCCGTTTTGGCCAGCAAAATGCTGGGGGAGGCCATCCCGGCAGAAAATGGGGTGCAGGGGGCTGTGTGAGCCTCCCTCTCATGCCCCATTTTGGCTGCAAGAGGCACCGCAGGCCGGTCCTTTGCTATTTCCAGGCCAGCCCCGCAGGCCAAAATTAAGCACCCTTGTGGGCCTTGAGATTGACACCCGTGGAATAGGGGATCAATTCATTCATTCATTCCAGCCCTTGTTCTATCTAGTGCTGGGCGAAGCCTCTTCTGCATGTTTCCAACCCAGACGGTCCTGGACTTTCTTTTGGTCAGTTGGGCCCACCATACTTGCTGATGTTGCCTTTCCATCTAGTTTTAGGGCTCTTTTGTGGATGCTTTTGCTCAACTGGGATCCATTCTATGACCGCCTTGGTCCACCTGCCATCGGTTCTTCTTGCTCTGCGACCAGCCCATTTCCATTTCTTTCCCTCTCAAAAAAGGGGGGTCATTGAAGGCATAATATATATAAAAAAGAAGCACCCAGTGCAGAAAAATAAAGGCACAGTGAGGAAACCCGATTGTCTATAGAGAATAAATAAAGATGAATTTCAGAACGAATGGTGGGTGGTTTGAGAGGAGGAAGACCAAGGAAGCTATGATTGGTGACACTTTCAACAAACATAATCCTTTACCTGCCCTGCTCCAGTAAGACAATGTCCTTCCACCCTAGTTTGGAGAGATGATAGGCCACTGAGGTGCCCATAATCCCGCCACCACAGATAACCACTTGTGCTTGTGTTGGCAGGGGCATCAAGTAAGGTTCAGCTCCGTTGCTGCTACTGTGCCGGGAGCCACACAGCCTCCACCAGGTCAGAGTCATTCTTTGCCACTGAAGGGCTAACTGCCGTTGGACGAACATCATGCTGACGGTTATTCGGTTCTCCAAAGACGCACGGAGAAATCTTCACAGCTGCTGCTAGCTCTGCAAAAGAGGAACATGCTTTTCATTACGTAGGCTTGGGAAACGACTTCAATGAGATTGGTCAGCAGCAACATCTGAGATGTGAAGACATCAGGGCTCCTAAGGTTTTTTGGATGGGTGGGGACATGTGAAAGTTTAAGTACAGGATCTCTTTGGAAAATGATTGCAGGGATAGTTCATCACAAGCCCTCTTTATTACTTTAGTATTTGGAAGCCACAAATTGAAATAAAAACATTGCACACTCTGCTTTTTTAAAAAAAGAAACCAATTAAGAAGAAATGTTGGAACAAAGTATATGAGCACAACAAAAAAACGCATTCAGCAAGCACAATAACCCCCCCTCACTCCTTCCACTGGGGATATTGGAGGAGTGTTGGAAGCCCCTCATATACAGGAGCCATTACATTGTGAGTTTGCTCAATTCAATGGCTGAACCTCTTCTCTTTCAGCCTCATATACTGTTTCCCTGAAAATACAACCTACCCTGAAAGTAAGTCCTAGCTTGATTCTTACACATGAACCCAATATAAGCCCTACCCCCCAAAATAAGCCCTAATTAAGATCCCACCCACTCCAGAATGCATGGGTAAAAATTAAGCTACGGGAAGGGATGGTGGGGGGTGGAGCTGCCCTACTACTTACCATTGGACAGTTGTAGCCAGGCCTCGCACACCCCGACACCTGCCTCGCCAGCTCATTTCTTCTGCAGTCAGCCAGGCTAGCAAGGCTTTCCTGAAGGCCTCTGGAGCTGATATAACAAAGCTCCGGATCGATCTGGAGTTATTGGCTGTTATCAGCTGCAGAGGCCTTCAGGAAAGCCTTGCCAGCTGCAGAAGCTCCCAAAGGCCTCTGACAGCAAAAAGGAGGCTGGAGGCAATGCACGCAAGTGAGGTTGGTCAGTGGATGACATCCCCCAAAAGAAGACCTGGTGCCTTTTTTGATAGCAAAAAATTATAAGACTGGGTCTTATTTTCGGGGAAACACGGCAGATACATTTATATAATATATTTGATCCCAAGTCCACTTAACAAATCATAAAACATGCCATGCCCAAGTATGTATTATACCTTATAATGTGATGCAAAGAGACCCAGGTGAATTTAACCCACAACCCATCAAACCCCATTTTCAGTTTGCTCTAAGTATGAATCCAGCCAATATGCCAGAGGAGAAACATCCACTATCTGCTTCACTACGCTTTGGCACAATTCCATGGGTACAATAATTTACCCACTGGATGCCAAAAGTACATTTACTGCCACAGGGCAGCACTGACTCAGTCACACCTTGCCCTTAAGTACAAAAGTGATCACCTAGAAAAGACTCACAACATGGCAATAAATGGAAGAGAAGGCAAAACTCTATAAAAAGCCAAGTTTTATATTTTTTAAGAATGGGAGTTCAACCGTTCTTTCCTTCTGATTTCTTAATAAAAAACCCCTGGGTGCAACCTGAAATCATCTAATTTGAATGCCTGCAATGTCCTCCTATTTTCTACCATGAGACTGACTTAGCAGGTCTCCCATAACCATTAATATTAACTGTCCCATAAGAAAAATCCTCCAATATTTTATTTATTGCATGGTAATTTATAACTGGAGAGAAAATTCGGCATGGTGGTTAAGGCATCAGGCTACAAACTGGGAGACACTGAGTCCTAGTCTCGTCTTGGCTACAAGGCAAGCTGAGGGACCTTGGGCCAGTCACTTTACCTCAGCCCTAGGAAGGAGGCAATGACAAACCACTTCTGCAAAACTTTGCCAAAGAAAACTGCAGGGACTTACCCAGGCAGTCTCAAATAACCGGATACAACTGGACAAAAGAAATACAATTATTTCTACTGCTTGAAATACCCAGGATATAAATTAACTGCTATCGTTTAAGCCCCTGGATATCTTATTATGAGAATTATTAGGTTTTTTTTATCTTGCTTTTTAAAATATATGGAAAACATTGCTAATAAGCTTGCCTATTTTCCCCACAAGGACACTGTGAAGTGGGTTGAACTGGGAGCGATTGTCCCAAGGTCACCCAGCCAGTTTTCATACCTGAAATCATCTTCTTCCAATTTTTTTCAAACTGAGAACATATTTTTCTTCTCTCACAGAACCATTACAATTCTCTTCATCATAAGGTCGCCTTTTCCCCTTCTTTTTGTGCTTGGTCAAAGAGATCTGGACCCCCTGAGGGAGTCATCATCTCAGCCCAAGCTTGTCCCACTCACTCCAGTGAAGAGATCTACTGAGACCCCTTTCTGCCAAAGTAGTTCAGCCAGTGGATCTGCCTCCTGGCCCCAGTGGGATGCTCTCTGCTGGGACTGGCTGAAAGGGTGAAGATACGACCCCAGTCACCACCCTGTGTCGCCCGTCTTCTTACTTTTTAGCCTTTATTTAATCTTCCTTCATTTTAATCGCTCTGTACAGGTTTGCATGGTGGATTTGAATCCAAGAAACCAGATGCAAATCCACTTATTCAGCCATGAATCTCTTTGTGCGATTTGACACTTGGTCCATTTTTTTTCAGGTAGTCCTTGCTTTACGACCACAACCGAGACCCCAAATTTCTGTTGCTGAGACATTTGCTAAATGAATGTTGCCCCATTTTACGCCCTTCCTTGCCACTGTTGTTGTTAAGTGAATCACTGCACTTGTTAAGTTAGTACCTTGGTTGTTCGGTGAACCTGGCTCCCGCCATTGCCCATGACACAGCCGTCGTCATAAATCTGAGTCCCTTGTCTAACGTCTTATGTTTTTTTTATTAATTTTTATTATTTTTTATATACAAAAAAGTCTATTCCATTTCAATCATGCACTGATTAGGTACATATTTCAATTACTTAACCAATATTAATAATATTCTTATCATACTTAACAATAATAATCACATTTCCATACATATGAGATCCAATATATCTATTACATTAGTTTTTCCTATTGCTCTATGAATACATCTAATCCCTTTTAATTTGTTCTATTTTCTATCCATTGATAAAACAAATCCCATACCGTGTAATATTCAGATTCTTTTCTTTAATTCCTATTCATTTCTGCACATTCAAATATTTCTTTCAATTATCTTTCCCTCTATCGGTATCTTATCACTCTTCCAGCTGTTGGAAAGTCCCTTGTCTAATGTCTGATCCCCTGACTTTGCGGATGCTGTGATGGTCGTAAGGGCGAAAAACGGTCCCAAGTCACTTCTTTCAGTGCCGTTGTGATTTCGAATGGTCACTAAATGAACGGTTGCAAGAGGAGGACTACTTGTCTTACCTTATCATTTGATAAGCCACCTAGAGCTGCTGCAAAAATGTGGCACGTCCTTGACTTACAACGGCCAGGGAGAAGGACCTGCAGTTTCAAGCTCAGGTGCCATTTGTTGAAATCCATAGTTAGAATTATTACAACTTTTGAGGCCACTTGGTTCCAGATCTCTTAATCCACTTTCCTGGGTGCCTGAATTGGATTGTTTTTCTGGATGGGATCCTACCCGGCTAAAATGTTGTGCAAATGCTGCTTGCTGGGTTTATTTTTCTCGTAGCCTGCATAAAGGGGGTTTTGTGAACCTATGTTAAACGCATGAACGTATGTTTAATGCAGGAGTCCCCAAACTTGGGCACTTTAAGACTTTGCTGGCTGAGGAATTTTGGGAGTTGAAGTCCACAAGTCTTAAAGTGCCCAAGTTTGGAGGCCCCTGGTTTCAATGGATTGATTGCCACCTGTCAGAAATGGTGCAGGGCAGGGGTCTCCAACCTTGGCCCCTTTAAGCCTGGAGGACTTCCACTCCCAGAATTCCCCAGCCAGTTGGGAGTGGAAGTCCTCCAGGCTTAAAGGGGCCAAGGTTGGAGACCCCGGTGTAGGGTCCCCCTACTTGGGCAGGGTAGGGTGGGGGCTCGACTAAATGACCTACCAGGTCCCTTCCAACTCTTCTGTTAAATAACATATGAAATAATAAAAAGACAAACAAACCCAGTAAAGGGGGGGGGGGCTATCTACCTGTGGGAGAAGGTCCTTTACGGCCAAGGAGCCCACAAGGCTGCCACCCTCTGTGGGGAGGTATGTGGGGAGGGAGGGGTCTCAAATTGCTCTCTGAGCCCCACCCCTCATAAGGGGGGGGCGTTAGCAATTGCAATAGTGGGCTGGGTGTTTATTAAATTTAATGAATAGATACCTAAGCCCAGTAAAGGTGTGGGAGGGGTTTGGGGGGGGGTCTATCTACCTGTCAGGATAGGTCCTTAAGGGCAAGTAACCCCAGGGCTGCCGCCTTATTGGGGAAGGTGAGGAGGGTCTCAAATTGCTCTCTCAGCCCCACCCCTCATAACGGGGTTGTCTTGTGTTGTAGCAGCTGCAACAGTGGGCTAGGTGTCTATTTATTAAAAGTATTTATTATTTTATGATTATTTATTTTTTATATAATTTATATATTTGATATAATTTATTTTTTTTATTTTATTATTATAATTTATTAAATGTAATAAATAGATACCTAAACCCAGTAAAGGTGCGTGGGAGATTCTATCTACCTGTCAGGACAGGTCCTTAAGGGCAGGTAACCCCAGGGCTGCCGCCTTATTGGGGAAGGTGGGGAGGGTCTCCAATTGCCCTCTCAGCCCCACCCCTCACAAGGAGGAGGGTCGTTGGGGAGCGAAGAGAAGGGGAGGTAAAGCTGTGGGGTCTTGAGCCCCACAGGTGAGGAAAGGCATAGGGGGTGAGAGGAAAAGAGGGAGCAAATGTCCTCCCCAACCAAATCACCCCCCCCACCTCAAAGGCGGGAAGCTTAAACCACGGGGGGGGGGAACATTTTCCCCCCCCCCCCCCCCCCCCCCCCCCCCACGTCAAGAAGCTTTTCCCAGCACCCGGGAAAGGAGGGGGGGAAAGAAAGAGGAGGGGACGCTGGACCATAAGGGCTTCAAAGGGGGGGCGCCGGTCCTACCCTTCGGGGTACAAGTTCGGACAGGGTGAGGTGGTCAACCCCCTCTCGGGCCCGCCTGGCCGCCCCCCCGAGCCCAGCCCGGCCGCCAAGGACCCACCTGCGTGGCTACCGCCCAGGCGCTCACCTGGACGTGCTGCCTGGAGGCTTTAATTAGCATCGTCGGCCCCGCCCCGCGGCGGGACATCTGCATACTCAGCCCCGCCCCCACAGGTATCGTCGCGGGGGTGGGGGGAAAAGGAGGGAGACCTGAGACGGGCGCAGAAGCGGCGCGCGACCTTCCGCCTCTGTTGTTGTTGTTTCGCCCGCGCTTTACGGCCGGCCCGGCGCGCGACAAGGTCGCGCGCCGACCCGTGGCGTAACCCCGTCGGGCGGCAGCCAATTGGCGTTGGGGGCGGGAGGAGAGGGCGGGGATAAGAGCGTGAAAGAGCAGGCGCATGCGCACATTGATCGAAGGCTCGAGGCCGAAGGGTTGGTTAGCGTGGTTGCTCCTTGGTAGTTGGGCGAGTTTTTAATCGGCTTCTTTAGCGCCAAAGGCAACGCGCGCTCTGTGTGGAGCCCGATCAGCTGCCGAGCCTGCTTGGCAAGAACCGGAGCCAAATTAAGAAGAGACTGGACAGTCGCTTGTCTGAAAGGGTATAGGTTTTCCTGCTTGAGCAGAGGGCTGGACTAGAAGACCTCTAGGGTCCCTTCCAGCTCCTATTCCGCATTCTATTCTATATGTTCTATTATACTCTATATTACGTTCTATTCGATATATTCTATTAATTCTACTCTAGTTATTCTATAATCTTTATTCTATTATACTCTATTCCATCCTATCCTATCCTATATATTCCATATATTCAATTCTATATCCGATATATTCTATTCTATATTCGATATATTCTATATTCTATTAATTCTATTCTAGTTATTCTATTCTATATCTATTATACTGTATATTCTATTGCTCTACTCAATTCTACAGTCTATCTATTCTATTTATAGTATTCTATATTATATTCTACATTCTATTCTATATACTCTTTTAAATTCTATTTTCTATTCTAGAATAATACTCTATATTTTATTATGTCCTATTATATATTCTATATATTGATGATTGAGTCTTCATTGGCAATTGCAATGCATTTTGGGGTCAGTTGGTGTGGCAGGAGATGGTTCCTTCCAATGATTCTCACTCTCCGCCTAACCAAATTTTTTTCTTTTTTATTGACTGAATGAAGCTTCCTGGATGGGAAGTGAAACATTTTGGATTGTTGTACTTCTGTCCAGTTGTTCTGATTTAACTTTTTTAAAATGCTTTTGGCCTGGATGATTGAGTCTTCATTGGCATATATGCTATATAAATTTTCCAAAGTAAATCAAACATCTCACCCAGCACCCTCCAACCGAGATTGTTTTCAAGCCTTTGCTGTGTGGCCCATTGTTGTAGGTCAAGGTTTGGCCCATAGTAGCCTTGCCTTCTCTCCAGACCATAGCATCAAGGGATGAGAGCACAGGTTCAAGAAAGGGCATGGATGCCTCTTCTCCCCGGAGCTCTGTCCTTTGCTGATAAGTGTCAGTCAAGAAACAATCGTCTGGGGCAGGGGTCTCCAACCTTGGCCACTTTAAGACTTGTGGACTTCAACTCCCAGAATTCCTCAGCCCTGGAGACCCCTGGTCTGGGGGTACCTGTTTGAGAATTGATCCCCCTGGTTTCTTAGTCAGATGAAGATCAGGGAGTCCTTTAGTAATTCAAAAATATTAAAGGGCAAAAGTCTGTAGACAACCAGTAACCATCATTAAGTAACCTTGAAAACTTAGCAGAACTCAAGATGGGTGGTTATGAAAGACGGCAGAGAAAAACACAGCAAAAAGCAAAAACCCGCAGACTCTTTTATTAAATTCTCCCATTTCATCTGTACAGAAAAATGCACATTATGTTCAGTATTTCAGTTAACAATTCAAAATTACACAGCATGGAACATGTAAAAACAAAGAATGGCCAAGAATTTGTACATAGATAAGAAGAAAAAAAAAACAATTTACAAAAAAATCTTAATATTACATTTTTAAAAAGAATCAAGCTCAGCCAAACATTTGCTGTTTTGTGATTTTTTTTTTTAAATCCTTTACCATGTCTCCAGTGGCTGCTTTTCAAAGCTGCAAGAAGAAGGGCACCGAACATATACCTAGCTACGCCATTCGAAGTTGTTTGGGTGTGTGTGTGGGGGTGTTCGTTTCAAATCCAATATTTGGATCTGCAATGAAAACAAAAAAATCAAAATCGTGAGCATGAAACATGAATTGGTTCTGGAAATGCCTCTTGGTGCCCATTCAGGACACTCTGGATACCTTTTCACCAGGTACGGGGCCACAGGACAGACAGGAAGCAATGCAAGTCCTACAAAGACCCCACATGTCATTGCTGGCTCAGAAGAGGGGCCGTTTCCTCACAAATCACTATCACGCTTGGTCCAAAACACAGTGAGGTCCAGCGCACGGCCCCCTCCCCACCTGCTTTGCAGAAGGCAGGGCCTTTGGTCCTCTCTCAGCCTCCTAGCACGGGGGCCACCTGAAGCTGTGCCTTTTCTCTCCCTGAGGCAAGGGGAGCACCCTGTCTTGATGCTGCTGCTGCTGCTGCTAGTTCCAGCTCTCTTTCTGAAGTGCAGCAGAGAAAAGAGAGGCCAAACGTAGGTGATGTTTGGCCCCTCTTTCCTCTGCTGCACTGCCAGGATAATGTTGCAGGATCCAACCTGGGTCGGTTGCCAGGACCAGAAGTCTTCTGAGCTTTCAGAGTCATGCTTGGAAGCCCATCCTTGTTCGCTGAAGATGGGCTCCAGCGTTATGTCCAAAAGCTCGGAAGACCAAAACCTTCTGGTCCCAGTGACCGATCCAGGTTGGATCCTGGAAAAGAAGGCCCTGCACCCTCACCAAGCTTAGGCAGGGGAGCCCTCAGCGACCAACCTAGGAAACGGTTGCAAAGCAAACAGCACAACTGTATACAGAAGTAGCAGGTGGATGGAGTCTTCTGGCTCCCAGCTACAGTGGATTATAAAAACAACCATCTGCAAGCCTGGCAAAACTCAGCACTGCCTTCTCCGCCTTCCTTGAATTAATTAATCCGATCAGTGAATCTGATTAAGCAGAATTAATCTGATGTGGCACAGCCGGAGTGGAAAGGAAGCGTGATCTCCACTCCTCTATACTGACCGGTTCCCGAGGTTGAAAAAAAATGAAACGGAAGAGGCCGGTGGGGACGGGAGCGACATTGGAGGCCATCCGCCCTCTCTCAGAGCAGCAACCTCTTCACTCCTTGGGGCAGACCGGGCGAGCTATCTCGGTGCCACTGGCTCACGAGCCCTCTTTTCGGTGCCCTTCCTTCTCCCTCTGTGGAAGCATCATTCGTGATCCTCAACACAAGCTAAGCAGTGGCAATGCAGGGCCAGGCGACTCCAGCTAAGCTGAGGGAAAGCAAATAATAAAAATTGTGCGTGTTGTGTCATTTTCGAAGACACACTAGCTAAAAATGACCCCTCTGTGTGTGTGTGTGTAGAGAGAGTGCAGGGACTTTCACCTCCATCAGCAAATGGGGCAAGACAGCCAAGACTAACCCAGGTGTCTTGCGGGCATCTCGCCCAATTGTACAATTCTGAACAAGACTCTTACTATCAACCGTTTAACCCAGGGGTCCTCAAACTTGGCAACTTTAAGACTTGTGGACTTCAATTCCCAGAATTCTCCAGCCAGCAGAGCTGGCTGGAGAATTCTGGGAGTTGAGGTCCACAAGTCTTAAAGTTGCCAAGTTTGGAGACCTCTGGTTTAGCCTCTTTAAGCGCTCCGTAGTCCATAACCCACAGCCAGCCTCTTCACAAGCGCTTCAATGCCCTATTGCTTTTTCCCCTTCTGCACTTCTTAATTCTGGCCCCATTTTGTGCCAGAATCACACATCTCAAGGTCAGGGCTATTGCCTCTAGGAGGAAAAAAATCCAGATTTCTGCTTCCGGTAAACCACTGTCTGACAAAATACTGGAGTTGCTTTTAGAACCTGCAGAGGCGAAAAGACCGCAGGCTCTGCAGCGTCCACTGGGTTCTTATCATCAGGTGTCTTTTCCCAGCCCCACCTTCTTTCTAGAACAGGGGTGGGAGAGAGTGGCCCTTTAATGTCTTGTGGACTTCAACTCCCAGAATTCTTGAGCCCAGCATGGTGCACGGCTGGCCCAGGAATTCTGGGAGTTGAAGCCCACGTCTCTTAAAAGGGCCACACTCCCCCCGCCCCTGTTCTACAAGACCCAGAGGGGACATAAAAAGAACCATGATCTCAAGAACCTTTCAGGATACCAAGAAGGAAAAAGAGAATCAGTAGTCACTTGAAAAAAAATAAAGCACACCAAACCGCCATCTCTAGGGAAGCAAAACCAGATACCACATTGCTCATTTTCCAGTATGAAGTCTCCTAAAGTTAACTTTGTAGAAACACCATTTCACCAACACTTCAGAGCAGCAGCAAATATTCACAGTACTGTTACGAGTGACGGCTTGTCCAGGCACTGATTAGCCTGGTCCCGTGACAGAAACACCCTCCACTTTCGGGAAGTTAAATGCAAAAAAATAAAAGAAACCAAGACAGGTAAGACTCTGTCTAGCAAGTGCAATACTTGTAGGAGCTGGAACATGCCAGGGAAGTGGAGAGGGGTGAGCAGAACACCCAAATGCACGATTCAGCCCCAGCATATGAAGGCAGACCTATGGCTAGCAGGTGAAAAGACTGTCCCGTGTGCCAACGAAAGAGCATGCGCCGCTTCTTCTACTCCCCAACCGAGTCAAGGGCAGCATCCAGGTTCAGACCAGGAAGGCTACTCGTAGTGCTGTTTCACAAAAATCACCACTTCCTTTCAAATGACAGACAGACAGTCCCCACCAACTCCTTCTTGCTCAGGAACAGAGTCCAAAAAAGGGGCCTTTCCTACTTCCCAAGCCTGACAATCTCTTCAGCTTGATTCTGGAGACCACGAAGCCCGCTCCCGTTCCGATCAATGCCGGATCTGCATACCGGGGAGAGGGTCACCTAATCGTCACCCCAGCAACGGCCCTCCTGTTTCGGGGGCCCAAATCTTCAGGGCAACTTTCCGAGAGGTCTACTTGCTACGCAGCTTCACACCCCGACTTGCGTCATGTAACAGCTTCCACTGGGCCAGGAAGTAGCTTTGCGAGGGGAACCTATAAAACCACCGGACTTGGTTTCTTGTGGTCGATATTTTATTAATCCCAAAGACAACGGAGAAAAGGAACGGCTTTCGCCTTGTTGGTGGAAACTGAGGAACAAACCAGTAAGGAAAGGAAAGGAAAAATACACACAAACAGATCCTTGTGACAGAAAGAGGAGAACTGGTGGAGATGATATTCCTCTGAGACCGTTTTGCTGACAGATTATGAGCTGAAGATGCTGGTTCATTGGCAAACTAGGTAATCCAAACCAGGGCCGGTGGTGGTGAGCGGTGGGTAAATGTCCCATCCTTTCAAGTCCTGCCTAAGCCCAGGGCGCAAGTGTTTCCTCACCAAGACACACACTGCCCCACAAATTATGCCAAGAACGGATCTTTAAAAGGTTGACTTTAAAAAAACCTCCTGGGCCGCAGTTTGTCAGTCTGGTTTGGAGTGTGTGAAGAAGGTAGTTCAACAGTACGAGGAGGGAAAAAAAGAAGAAGAAAAAGAAAGAGCTTTGTCTACAGGCAGGCAAACAACCGTGGCTAACGATGGGGTAACAAAGCTGCTGGACAGGATGGGAGACCCAGCCGATATGTGCTGCTGCTGCTGCTGCTGCTGCTGCTGCTGCTGCCGCCACCACCGCTGCTGCTGCTGCTGTTCTAATTGGCTTGTACTGTCTGAAGGAGAGCGAGGTGGGGAGGGAGACTATACAGAGAAGACTGTACAAATTGGGCAGGCCTTCCTCCTCCTTCCCTCTGATGATGACCAAGGTCGTCTCTACCTGTCCTTCAGTTCTCGTGTCACTCGCTTGGTGATACGCCCGCACATCAGACCAATCAGGAACAGGACACAGATGCCTGCACTGATCACCGACAGGATGTAGTTCTTGGAGGGAGACGTCACCACTTGCATGGCCAGATCCGAAAAGCCTTCCGCTGGGGCCACCTGGCAAGAGGAAAAGGAGCCATCAGCTACCAAGCCCAAGGAAAGGCACACCAACCCAAGCAAGGCAGGTGGACTTGGGCTGGCAAAGCAGGAGACAAACAACAGTCTACTCTGTTCTAACGAAATTATAGTAAAAAGCTAATTTCACCTGGGCAAATTCTGTAGAAATCTCGTAAGTATCGGTCTGGCTAGAGTAGAAGGTAGAACAATGGAGCTTAAAAAGCTTAACAAGTTTAAAACCAGAGTGTTAGAACATGCCCAAATAAATTTTGGAGGTCCCCAGTTTGCTCTGGGTAATGATTACTGCACTTTTCTTTAAAACTTTCCAGATGTCTAAGGAGGGGAACCACATTTTTAAGGTAAAAAATTCTGTTAATCTTTGATGCCTTTTAAATCAGTGTTTGTCAACTTAAGATGTGTAGACTTCAACTCCCAGAATTCCCCAGCCAGCATGTTGTCAAGGTTAAGATATACTTCTTTAAATGCATCCAAGCTAAAGTTCCACATAAGCTGTAAGTAGAACTTTCTTCAAAGTTCATGCTGGACAAAACATTCTACAATTGTTCACAGATCAATCCCTAACTTTATTACCACCACCCCTCATAGTAACATGCCTTCACATCAATTTGCTGTGGAAGTATTTCCTCTTTAATAAACAAAGCCAGTGACATTCTTTTCCACACAAAGTGCAAGAGAGGTCCAGATCATGAATAGAATAGAAATGGAACAGGAGGTTGATAATTAAAGGGGGTAAAGTTTTTCATGAATTATTAGAACTATGATGAAATTAATTGAATAGTGAATGAAGTATGTGATAATATTGCAAATGTGACAGATAAAAGTATATTATAGAAGTGAAATAAGAATTTTAGATACCATTTTAAAATAAGATAGAACATTTAAAGAAAAATGAAATAAGATATGATATGAATTGGAAATGAATATAATTGTGATGAATATAAATGATATGAAATTGATTATAATAAAAGAACATGTAATCAAGGCCACGTTTATATTGAAATGTAAAAACCTGGAACCACACTGTCACCAAGAGATGTTTTTAAAATATAAAAAATAAAAAAACTTATTTATAAAAAAAAATGGGACAGGAGTAGGGGTAGAGGTAGGGTAGAATAGGAATAGAACAGAAAATGGAATAGAATTGTATTGACACTTTAAATGTACACTAATCAGCATACATTAAAATGAAATTTCGTTGCATTCTGCTCATCCTTGAGTGTCATCTGCTTCAAATTCCTCATTTGCCATTCCCCCTACATCTATTCACACATGGAGAGGCAAATATTCAGTTAGGTATGCATACACAGTGATCTCAGGTGAATAATCTCTCAACTGACATGCATTTTTGACACCCCGGGGTCATGTAAAATCGTCATTTGCAACCTTCCCAGCCAGCTTCCAAACAGGCAGTCAATGGGGGGAGCCGGATTCACTTAACAACCACATGATTCACTTAAGAACCATAGTGGATTTGCTTAACAAATGTGGCCAAAAATGGTTGTAAAATCACACACAACTCACTTTATAACCGCTTTTGCTTAATAATGGAAATTCCGGTCCCAGCTGTGTTCATAAGTGAAAGATAACCCTGTATGGGGGATGAGACCCAGCCCCACTGCCAGGACACCAAACCCTTCCCAGGATCTCTACTACCTCCCCTTAGTTCCCTCCTCATTTCCAAGCACACCGATAACTCTTCTATTCCCATTTAAGAAAGACGTTCTGCCACCTTGCTCACCTTCGCAGCAAAGCTCCACATTTCGATCCGGTCGTTAAGGCGTTTTTTGCATTCTGGCTGTAACCGTACCCGCTTGTCCTCCAGAGCCTCCATGAGGCAGGACATCTCTGCAGAATGAAGGAAACGCTGTCACAAAAGGGTTGAAGGGGTCAGGAAAGTCCCTGCCACACCGCAAACCACCAATAGGACAGTATCCCCAGGAAGGAGGCTCCCCTTAGTGCAGGAATCCCCAAACTTGGCAACTTTAAGACTTGTGGACTTCAACTCCCAGAATTCTCCAAGTTAAAAGTTGCCAAGTTTGGGGATCCCTGCCTTAGTGCATGTTGCAGGTATCTTCCCAGCCAACTTCTTTCTCCTTCATTCCCATCCCCAAAATAAAATTAAAAATTAAAAAAAACCATTTTAGAGATAGTCTGAAAACAAGATACTTCCAATTTGAAACATTTCCACCCCCAAAAAAGTTTGAAAAGCAGGTTAAAAAAATGCCCCTGTCTTCCCCAATCTCTCTTTAGAGCAAGTGGCCAGTTTTAAGTATCTGGGTTTTAAGTTTCTAAAAGAGGACCTGACTTGGGGTGCTCACCTTGCAGCCCTGGTCGAAAGGGCCCAGCAGAGCTTATACAACCTGAGACTTTTCAGGAAACAACAACTGAATGAAAAACTGCTGAGGACCTTCTATCGCTGCACCACGGAGAGTATCTTAACTTACTGCACCTCTGTATGGTTTGCCAGTTGCACAGGGGCAGATAGGAAAACACTCCAGAGGGTTAATGTCATTGCCCAGAGGATCATGGGTTGCCTTCCCTCCTTTTTGGAAGAGCTTTGTAGCTCCCGCTGCCTTAAGAAAGTTCAAAACATCCTTAAAGATCCATCTCATCTTGGGCACCCTTTTTTTTTTAACTATTACCATCTGGCAGACGGTACAGGATAATAATAAAAACAAGGACAAATAGGCTGAAAAACAGCTTCTATCCCAGAGCAGTAACTCTATTGAATTCTACTGTATATAGTGCAATATTGATGCAATATCAGGGGGTTTCAATTTAATGTATAGAATGTGAAGGATGTGTATTTGTGTTTATTTTCATAGTCATAATGTACACTGAAGATGGTGTTTGGTTTCGTTGTGCAAGGTGCAATGACAATACATTAAACTAAACTAAACTTTATCTCTAGAGTGGTATTCATAGTGGAAAGCATCCAGGTTTGTAAGCAGCTGGAGTGAACGGACTTTGTGGTCAGAACAGCCTTATTGTCTTAGCACTCCACTGACCGATTGGTTAACGCAAAACTTACGCCGGCCTCTTCCTGGAGTGATGGCAGCACAGTGGTGCTTGATGTCCAGCGCGCAGGCTGTGTGAAGGACAGGATCCACAAAAATGTCCGCCTTGCTTTCCTTCAGCATGTTCAGCACCTCCTGGAGAGCAGAAAGCCACAAGGATCACCATCAGATAGGAAGTCAA